TTACAAATAAAAGAGTAAAGTATATAAAGGTATCTCATCCCCCAAAAGGGTTACAGAAAAGCGTTCATGATTAGATAGCTGTTAAGCAAAAGGGGAGAATCACTGACTGACAGGTGTTGTACAGAGAGCAAGGACTCTCCAGTGAAGTCAATGCTTCCTTAAGTACATACATCTCAACTCCTCCCCCAGATGTAATTCAAGTTCGTCCAACTCGTCTTGTCTAAAATTTTTATTTGCTTTCTTCTTTTTGGTTATCAGTATCTGCACGTTTATGGGGCACAAGATAACACACTAGCAGCCATTTGACATTTTCCTCAAGAAGATGCTTCTTTTTCAATTTGTCAGTTTTCAATTGCTGCAGGTCTCAGAAGAAGCCTTCTAGTGACGGCTAAGCTAGAACTGAAGAGTATTTTTCTGATTTAGAAATTAAAAACAAAGGAGAGAAGAGGAACCAAAACAAACTTCCATCCAGTTTTAAGATGCAGATTCAGTTGATGAAAGCATCAAATGGCACTGCCTTGTGAGACAGCAAGAAACCAAGTTCTACAAGCTTGAAAATCTGCAGTTCCATGAACTAATAATTCAAGCGTTCAGATTCAACAGGTAAATTTAGCCTGAGATTTTACTGTGGCCGGAGACATTTTGTACACTCTCTTTTTCACACTCCCTTTCTTGGTCTCTTTTCTCTCCCTGTCTGTCAATTACTAGTGGAATCTCAGAGTGCTGATGGTGGTTCTCCTTCACATCCATGACAGGCACTTGCTGGAGAGTACAGCATATGCTGTGGTATGTGTTGTTAACTCTGGATGCCTGAAGAGATCTTGTAAACTTAGTGAAAATTTCCACATACAGTATGACAAGTTCAAGATTGTTGGTAAAGCTTCATTAAGCCAGTAACTCCTACAGGGTAGCTAAAAAAACACCTTCCGAAAAGCAATATTGAGAAAGGCTGACCCAGCTTCCAGAGGAGTAGACACTCCTATCAAAATGAAGGGAGGAAGGGCACAGCATGGCAGAAGAGACGTTCAGCTTTCTTTGACTAGGCCATTGGAATCATCACTGGAATTAAAATTCTTCCTGTCTGACTAAGAAAAGAACTGCTAGCAATATATTGAACACTTTTTTTGGTCTAACTAGAAAGCTATCCAACTCATGAACATCAGGTTTTGTTTTGTATTCTCAACAGGAACAATCCTGAAAATCTCATGGGAAAAAATGCTCAGCTGAAAATTGGGTCTAAAATCCAAGAAACCACAAAAGGCAAATCTCCCCTGCCTTGCTGGACCTACATTTCCTCAAAGTTTAAAGGTTTTTCAGTGAATGTATTCTGAATTAAAATTTGTAAAAAAAAAAAAAGTCAAAGTTTTCACATGATTTCAGGTTTCATTGGAAAGGCTCTTTACAGATATAATCCGTGTGCTGTTTTGTAGGCAAAACTGTTGCCTTAGTGGCTGTGCAGATGATAACTGATATGCTGTATACTCTTAAATCAAAGCCTAGGCAACTTATTTAATACTCATGCAATGATGAAATTCTACAATTCAATAATTATACCCAAATAGTGGACCAAAAATAAACAAAAGAAGGAATAACTAGCATAGACTACAAGTATTTCATTTATTAGTTCTGCCCTGCCAACTGCACATCATCTTCTTGGATATCTTGTGCTGCAAAAAATGGGGTCCACATGTTAAATAAAAGAAACTATTGGTTGTAAGACAACAGTTTGCTGACCTCCCCAATTAACTGGGGTTCTGCCAGGAGGTAACTGATGAGATGAACATAATAGGTATCATCCTTCAGTTGCATCATCATGAATCTAAAAAGTCAACCAAGCCAAGAGCTCACTTAAAAAAGAGCTTGCCCTGGAGACCCATTGCTGAAAAAAAAGTGTGAAAAGGCTGTGTTAAAGACATATTCGCTAACTTCCTAAAACAGAGAAGAAGATACAAATGGAGATCTGGAAAATTGTTTTAGTTTTCCATGGAACAAGCAGTTGACTTGAACAGCCCACCTTTTTATTGGTGGAATGGAAGACACAGTCTTAGATAGTGGAAATCACAGATTTATTTTTGCTGACCTCTGTATTTCTGTTTGGCTGCCTCTAGTTTGAAACTCAACATTTGTAATGAAAGAAAGGAAGGAGAAAAAAAAGTGAAGCATTATTGAAGAAGAGGTGTTTATGTACTCTACAATACTTGGAACTGATTATGGTACTGCCTCTGTTCTTCCTCTTTCTCCCTTTCTTTGTCACAGTTGTCATAGATGTCTCTGACTGCAAGAGGCTCCTAGTGTGGGCCAAGGAGCTTTTGTTGGTCTGCTTTTTAAAGTAGAGAACAGTCAGTCTGTTCTTCTTTCTGTGGCACATCATCAACAACGTTAGAAAGAACAGGAGTGGGACACTGAAGTCAATGTCTGCTTTTCAGCACAAAGCATGTGGCTCTTATTTTATTTTATGGAAGCTTTCGAGAGAGAGTTTTCAGGTAATTAGGAAAGTAAAGAACTTTTACAAATTTTTACATAGTTATTATGATGCCTCACATTTAAAACCACATACAACAGTAAGGTGGTATAATGCATAAGCACAAGAGCATACAGAAAATAACCACAGAAAATAACTAAAACAGCAAAAAGAACAGATATATCACAGAAGAACAATCTCCTGTCTTAATGAAAACTCTTTAAAAAAAGCCCTACTGTCTTAAGTAAACATAGGCTAGCAGAGTGTCTGCAAGTTTAACCAATCAAAAGCTAAAAGTAGTCCAATTAAAATATAAGTCCTGTCACTGTATACTTGCCAAAAGTCCTCCTGCACATTATACAAGGAAGAAAAGTTAAGATGCATTCTTAAGATTCCTTATGCTTTATAAAGCCACAGCTATGCTCAGCTGGGAAACGTTAAAAAAAAAAAAAGGTTGGAATCCTTTTCAGAATAAACGATTTCAAAATATCCTGTTTTTCCTTTAAAGAACACATGCTGCCTTTTGTTTCTGTCTGTCTTACAGAGGAATACAATAGTGGAGTAGAGCAGACATATTTTAAAGAACAGGCTTGAGCTACTCAGGTCAAATTCTCCCTAAAATGCATGTATGCATCTTCCATTATCTTTACATATACAGCAGATGCATGCAATCATCAGCTTATTTGCAGTGTATCTAATACCATGCCCTTTTAAAAACTTATTTTAGAAGCACCTGCTGATTATTTCCTCTGCAGCTGCGAAGTAGCCATTTAAAGAAATCAGACTTCTATCATTTTTGGTGGCACTCAAAAGGTATGCTTACCCCATCAGAAGATCCTTTCATGTAGAAAGGGAAATTCTAAAATGATAGGCCCTCTATCATTAGGAATAGCTCAAAACAATATTTAATGATACAAGCTATTGACAGAGGCAGAAATGCTGCATTTATTTTCTTCTGTAGGTTACTAGGGCACTCACCATAGAGGAAATTGAGTTGAATTACACAAATGAAAAAATTACGATGAAAACTTGGTTTTGTCTGAAATAAATTAGAATTACAACTGAAAATAACCGAAATGGAATAGCATGTCTTTGTTTACAGTTAATTGAGCACACAAGAAAGCTGCACCCACTTACATAAAATAGGATGCTGATCCAATGTGCCAGCACTGACAATTCCCCTACTTATGTTGCATGCAAAACCTAATGAATTCCTGCTTACCTACTTCTCTTAATACAGAACAATGGGAAGATGTTCCAGAGGCACAAGGTGAATTACAAGGTGATAACTAGCAGGGATTATAATACAACCAATCAACTTCCTAACACAAATACTGGGGTATCTCAGCCCTTTCTTACACTGGTGACAGACAACACCTTTCTCCCATCATGCGCTTATGTATAGTTTGGATCCCTCAGTGTATTCTTACAATCCTCCTCATCTGGGCATACAACAATCACAGCCACCGCTAAACCTTCCCCTGAAGGAATTCTTCAGCTTCTAGTCACAAACCTGCCTGTGTCTATTCTCTGAACAGAACCACCAACTCTTAGAAGTTACTTCAAGAGATTCTCTACATGTAGTGAAAATCACATTTAAAAAAGCAGCATGGCCCTCATAAACAGCTATATAACCATGATCTCCACTGCACTCAGTTCACATCTCATGAGGAAACATCCCATGAGAACTGTGATACGCAGAAAACAAGTAAGAATATGACAATACAAACAAGATCAATATAAATACTGTATTTTGTTTCCAGTTGAGAAATATTTAAGTATTCCTTTTGTTCAGCTCACAAACAAATGTAACAGAGTTCAGATAAGCTCTAACAATTTTGAAACTTTTGTCCTACAAAAAATCAGTGGAGTTGGATAAAACCTGCATACCTTCTCTGACCATAAAGAACTGTAAATTGTTGTTATTTCAACTGTAGACTTTGAATGCATACTAGAAAAAGGACTTGTCCAAAGAGCAGTAACAACAATCTTAGCAAAATGTGACGACAAGTTTCTGTTTAGTGACCCAAATGCTTTCTTCCTCTTTAGTAAGTGAAAGTCAACATGAGAGAATTAAAGAACATTCAATTGACTGCAAATTTGCCAAGGATTTATCCTGTAAAGATCCACATACACAGCCCCTTTCCAAACAGGAAAGTTCATGAAAGTTCAAAAAGTGATCAGCAAAATTCATGAAAGAAAAATTTACTAAGAGCACATGAGTGCAAAAGGCATTACCTCAGACTCGGTAAACTCCAGTTACAAATTTTGGTGAGTTGCATTTCAGGCAAGTTTTACTGTGTCAGAACATTTGCCCTATTCTTACCTCTTTCCTGGGCATCACTTTGTGCGATTGCTGGAGACAAGGTACGAGGCAAGTTTGACTGCTACAGCTATTCTATGTCTTCAGCTGGAGTTTTCCATGCATTCTGATCCAGGTTCATAGCCATAATCCCAAAGACAACATTTTGCTCTCAACTAGATTAGCTGTGTATTCAGGGTATACAGAGAAACCCAAGCACTGAGACATGAGACTCACCTGTGCATTCATGTTGTAGTCCTTTCCCATAGTATCCTTTTTCACAGATGCACTCAAACTGGCCAGTGTGAGTGCCGCATTTACAGCTTGCCATGATGTCGCAGCAGTTTTCATTTGCCTCACAGAGATATGAACAATGCGATATATCTTCCTGGATATAGCTGCCAGAGGGCAGGTCTGAAATGGTATTAATTTATTAACAAAAAATCCGAACAAAATTCCCCCCACAGTCTCACATTATGTCATTAGTGAAATGCTTCTTAAAAACCCTAGGTTCTAGTTCTAGAGCAGTACTCATGGCAGGATGAAGCAGAGCCTTGCTACACTCAAACTGTAAAAAAAAAAAAAAAGGTGTTCTTATTCCGGAGAAAGGCTCATTGAAATCCATGGTGCAAAGATCCTCAATTTTTGTCACTCGGTTTCTTTTGAGTCTAACACTGCCAGAATGCAGTTTCACTCCCAACAGAAGCTGCTGAGACAGCTTTTCCCACTTTGGTGGATGCCATCTTTGGCATCAGGAGAGCATTTGGTCACAGCATGTATAACCAGGTGGATATATTAAAAAAAAAAATCTTTCCTCTGGCACATTCACATAGACCAATTACACCTTACGTGGAACAAACAGAATGGCAGTAAAGCACACTTCTTACTTAAAAGTAGCATGCTTTTAAAAATTAAACATAGCAAATAAATGCTAATGGCTAGTCTGATGCATGTTCTAAGGCTCAACCAAGCAGCACTGGCTCACAAACAAAGGTCTAGTTATGTGTTCTCAGTTGCTAGTCTAAAGTTACGCTATTTTTCAGGAAGAACTTTTTTTAGAATACAGTATACTAAAAAAGGGTAAAAACCACAGTCCAAACTCTCCTTCTACCCTTTGCTCTTTCTAGTTTTACTGAATGTATGTCATAAACATAAATCATATTTACCCATATACACAGAGATCTAAACCACTTCTGAACAGACTAGCTTTTGTTGCTGTGTAAAATACTAACAAGCATTAAGGCTAGTCCTAAGGAGTGTATTAGGTGCCTCTTTTGGACAATCATGTATTTGACTACAAGGCTCATCTGTTCAAGCAAAAGTCACACTGAGCGAAGCCCACAGTCTGTTCTTTGTGGACAAAACCGAGTTGAATGAAGTTAAGTGTGTATATACCATGGAGGAGAATTTGGCTCACGTTTTGTTGATGATGAGTTAGTTAAACACAGTTTATTCTTGTACCTGAGGAATGAACACCTCTTCTAGAAAGTAAGAGGAAAAATTAAAAAAAAATAAAAAAGTAATCAACACTACATTAAATGTAATTACAAGACTGTACTGGAGATCCTTCTATTCAGACCTCTCTGCTCTCTGTAGACTTGTGTGGTTAATACATTAATACCTTCATGAAGAGCTCTGCGTGCCAGAGCTTCAAACTCAGTAAAACTATGAAGAAGGTAACAGTGATCTTCTTTTGGATGGGATGCCATGTCATTCAGTTCTCGGATATTTCCCTGCCATATCCCAAAGGTGAAGATCTCCACTCCAAATTCACGCAAGGATGCTGCGATGGGTCTTGGGTCTCCCCCATTGGAATATCCATCAGTAATGAGAAATATCACCTTTGTGGCATTTCCACGGGCATGCCGTAATATTTGCTGGAAGAGAAAATGAAATTGCACACCTCAGCAAAGGGTTAGCAGTGGCTGATCTGTACACTACTTCCTCCATGATATGGATCCTTTAATTCAAATAATACAGCTAGATTAAGTCCTTGCAAAGCCACTCTCTATAATGAAGATCAACAATCTGCAAGTAGAGCCTGTGGTTAGACAAGGACAACCATTGAGTCACACTTCAGATGGTCACAGTCTGCACAATCACAGAAATCATGACACAATCTGAAATCAGACACTTTTCACACTGACTGATTAAGTCACCCAGGCGTCAGGCAGCAGTGATTCTGACCACTGCTTTAGCAACTTCCTTCAGACTGCAGTTTGAATAGGTAATAAAAACACTGAAAATCTAGTGGAAGACCCATGGGACTGAAGTTCAGATGCTGCCAACAGTCTCAGTGCAATGGGAGTGATGTGGAGGCATATCAGCTGCCAGTTTGGTCCATGTTGCTTTTCCATTCAGTACATGAACGCCATTCGGTTCCAAACTTGCTGGACCATTCAAGTAGAGAAAACTCACCATATCCCACTGTGAAAATGTGCTGCAAATGTGCTGCAAATGGTGGCACACTCACTCTCATTATCATGGCTTTCAGTATGTAATTTATGGACAAATCCTCTACAGTTTGTAAGGCTAACTAAGAACTAAAAGTATTTTATTAGTGACTACTTTGTTCCAAATAAATCCACAGATTAATTAGAAAAATCGTAGGGATTGACAGATCAATTAAACGTGAAGAATCAGTCAAAACCACAGATACAAATGTTGAAACAGCTGTCACACACAGTATCAACTTTTTATATGAGGAATCTATGAGCCATTAAATCTTCCACTGTGATTATATGGCCACAGGTCTGCAAATTTTGTATTTCCACATGTTCCTTCCCACCTTCCCTCTACCATTTCCTTGTCTAAAAGGTGAAATCTACTGAACTTCTGGAAAACAAAACAGTGGCTGTGTCATTCTCTTCCCATGTAAGGCAGATGGAAAAGAGTTGTTTATCCAGTAAGCCCACAAGAAATTTAATAGTGTACGCATAGGCAGATAACATGCAACAAAGCACATACATACAAGTGCATGGGTATGAAGGAAAAGGTAGTGAGGTGGAAGAGATTCTGTTAGGAACAGTGGTCTTAAAACAAAAGCATCTCAGATATCTGATGTGCAATGCAAAAATATAGCTGTGCCCAATGAGGCTTCATAAACCTCCCTCCATGAAGGGAAATTGAACAGGTTTTACAAACAGATGAGAACATGGGAATAGTTAGAAACAAGTTTCTACTCATTGCCAGGCTAGTGAATTACAAATGAAAAGCAAAGAATTTGGGTATAGTGCCTGTTAAACAAGCTTCAAAAGAGTGACCATGCACAAGGTGACTTGTTTCCCTAAATGCACCCTCAGCATGCCTCCTGCAGTCAGCTACTGAATCTTCACTACCAGCACAACTGCACCAGGAAGCTGGAACCTGGAAAAATAAGCAGTCCTCAAAACTGTGATTTTATGCATGGAAAACAAAACCCAAAGCATGACAACAATCATCAAAGTTTCCTATGGCATCACGCATTCAAGGCCTGAATGTCAAGCCAGAGACAATTAGTTACGAAGTTTAACCAGGAAATCAGCTGAAGAAACAAATGACTAAAGGAACACTCAGGTTTTTTTATTGTGTACAAACTGCTTGCTCCTAAGAGATCAAAATCCTTCTATCTGTATCTCCCACCATGGCAACGCCTTTTCTGTTAGTGATACATTTTTGTTTCTCTCGAAAGTCTGAGGTAACAAAGATGATCTAACATATTTTAATGTCATCTTATGTTTTGATCCACTAAATTATAAGGCCCACTTCTGATTTATTGGTAGTCTCCTCCCAACAAGCATTTGTATTGTTGGTTATTTTAACCCCAGCACAGCATTCCCCATTTGCCCCTGGTGAATTGTGCTTTTCTCCCTTACAAGTTTGCCAAGATCACTTTAGCTTGTCTGTCATGGCCACCAAAACTGCCCACAGTCCCTTCCATGCTGCTGCCATCTACAGATTCAAGGATCGTTCCTTCTAATACTTCACACAAAACATTTGTGACAATATTCACTAATGCCTAAGTGAGGACATGCCCCACTGATTCCTGCTCATTTCATCCTTCCAGCCTGACAGTGTGCTAGTGCTAATTACTCTCCGAGTACATTGGTTCTTGGACAACAGGCAGAGCGCCCGCAAAAATGCAGTATTAATGTGCTATGGACTAGAAACCACCCTATGGACTTACTGCTGTCACAAATAGCCACAGTCCAGTAATGAGTAAATGTGGGACCACCACCAATCTCATCTTGGTGGCCAGGTGCTGTCTGTGGCCCTAAAGCTGGGAATTGTGAAGGTGTACTTTCTCCTTCCTCTGTGAACTTACCTGGAAGGAATTAGATGCAGATTTTCAACACGGTAGCATGTAAATTACTACCGCGTTTATTTCAATAATACATTGTACCATGCTGCAATCAATACAACAGAACACATTTGACAGACCTTTGAATGATACTCCAAAAATCACGTCATTGTATGATGACTAGTAAATGTGTTTAAGTCAACCTTAACAAACACAAACTCCAAAACCAGAGGTGAACTGATCTGAGTAGCTTTATTGCAAAATCTTAAAGTAAGACTTATAAAGTAAAATTGTCTGGCTTCCAACTCAATCAAAAGCTTCCAAGTTAGGCCAGTCCAAAGAACGTGCAGAGATTCTATAACCTCTCCCAGTAAGCCAGGCCATATTTCAGGACAATTTGATTTTGATTTAGCAATGCACAGATTTCAGGTAGATACTAAACAAAAACAAGCATACACACCATAAACCAAAGCACAGACCATTGGCTCCATGGTCTGAAAGACTGACAAGAAGTGTTTTGCTGTTGGGCTTGATTTCATTACTACTTGTATGCAAATCCCAAAGGGAGTGAAACCAAATTCTCTTGCAGACAGAAATACCCTTCACAAACCAAACCTACCGTTCCTCATGTTGCTTAAGTCGTAAGTGGAAAACCAGAATGAAGTGAAAAACCAGAATGAAATGGAAAACTAGAATGAAAATAATCAGGAAGATAAAGACAAGGCAAAAGACAATATGAAGACAAATAGTAGGACAAAAATACAAATGCCTCATTTCAAAACACATTCTGAAACGGACGGTCTATGACAAGTGGCATTGCAGGCAGCAAAGGTACCGCTATTTATCATTAGCACATATACCTAACATATTTAGCATTAACTGTGTTATTTTAAAATAGAATGTAAACAACTTAAAGTTCTACGCAACTTCTTAAGTATTCAGGCTGAAATTTTCCATTCAGGATGTTTGTCTCAAGCTTCTTCAGTGAAAATGGCTTTTATTTCAAAAAACAGGATGAGGAAAAACATATGTTCCATCCATACTTGGTTTTGGCAACTGTAGCGTCTTTGAGCTCTACAGGACCTTTCAATCTGCACATCGCATTTATAATAAAGGTGGAAAAATAGGCCCCAAATACATGCAAGTTGTGGAACTTGTGTAATGGAGGAAGAAAACATAACTTGCACAATGCTAAGAGATATAATGGACATTGCAAGTGCAAATCCCTGACTATCCCACCTGCACGCAGCTTGCTCTAGCAGAATATGATTTCAACTCGCGATTATGTTATAATATGTACAGAAGCGGGACCAAAGCTTAGTTTTGGCAGGATGTGGCTTTGCAATTTCAGTAATATCCTTTCAGCTCTGTTTCCCTCTGTGCATAGCACAAAGCTGCACAAACTTTGCAGATGAAGGTAGTGGATGGCATTACACATCACCCTAGTTTTTCAGCAAGTGATACGCAGATAGCAATCAAACTTCTGCATTTTCCCTAAATACAGGGACATGTCTGCATGGCCAATGAACAAACTAGCTTAGGCCCCCATAGTCTAGCCAGGACAACACGGATCTCAGAAAGGACTATTTAATTCTGGTTAGTAAATTAGCAAGGATCTCTGCTTTACAAAACCAGGCTGCCACCAATGCCCTCTCAAACTGCCATGCAGGGTACATAAACCCGTCATGTCTTTCTGTGTGATCACTAAATGTCCCCTGGCTGTAGGTCCCATGAACAATAGCTTACCAAGCCCTTTTAAAAAATGCAGGTCATTAGTTAGAGTAAGTGGGAAGCGTCAGGTAAAGACCATTTTTGAGGGGCAAATATCCCTTAGCTATGTGACCTTGAGACAAGGCAAGCAGCCAACAGCTTTTCTGTCCTCTGCCTCTAAAAGAACAACCTCCTCTTTGGGGCAGCACCTCTGTCACACACAGACACAAATTGAGCTAACAAGTCAGAGAGCACAAAGCTGTCCTTCTGCTTCCTGACAGACTCAAATATTCAGGCACCAGTGGATCCAAGTACAGAAACAGACAGAGGAACAGACAGGATTGCTACATATTGCCCCTACAAATCAAAACAAAACAAAGCCACTGAACAGCTTGGCCCTCCTGTCTTGCAGCTGCAACTCTAGACACAGAATCCCTGCTGTATGACAGCAGAGGAAAAGAACAAGGGAAAGAAAGAAACATTCAATATCTGAGGGGGCGGGCCGGCGAGGGGAGACATAAATCTATTTTTAAATAATCTGTATATGTTTGGTGGTCCAGTTAGTGTTTTGTTTCACACTGTGAAAGCACAGTGACATAAGGGACAGGCCACCACCCAGAGCTGCTGACAATCCAAGTAACGGTTTGCATTGCTCTGCCTCTTCTCTTCAATATTTGTGTGGCATTTCACGTCATTTTTGTTTCCCTTAACCCTGACCCACATTCCTCTATTCGGAGACACCTCTCTTCTTCCCTCTCCAGAAAGTCATTCTGAAAGCCCTTTTTTTCCTCCAGAAATGTCATATATTTTAAAATGTCTGTTCACTTGACCTGTAAACTTGTAAGCATACACAGAGGTGGTTCCACATATTTAACCAGTTCCCATCAACTTCATGGACTGTATCTAAAGATGAC